CCTCTGCGGAGGGAGGAGTATATATATATATCATGATTTGAATTGTTTTAGAATTAATCTAAAAATATAAAAAATTGCTTACTTCTAAATTATTAATCTCTCATGTAATGGTATTTATTTATATTATTATGTTCTTCTATCGGAAAATCAACCGCAGTCGATTGGACTTTAAACAGACCTCTAGTCTACGCAGAAAGAAATTTGATGAAATTATTACTGGTAAACAAAATATTTTAAAAAGGTGGTATGAACATTTTAAAGAACTTCTTAATGAAAATTGTGAGGATGTTGAAATCATTGCACCTGAATTCATAAATGACATCGAGTTTGAGGCTTCAACTATTGAAAAGATCAGGGCTGCAATCAAAAACTTAAAGAATAAAAAGGCTTCGGGACATGATCTTATTTCAGCAGAACTGCAAAAAAAATGTGAACCTACCTTATTGAGAAAGTTATTTGAACTTATTACTGACATCTGGCACTCTGAGATTATACCAACGGATTGGAATATTAGCATTTTGCTCCCAATTCACAAGGAAGGAGATCCTGTGACCTGTGCCAACTATCGTGACATTAGTCATCTTTGCATAACTTTTAAAATTCTATCTAGAATTTTATATCTCAGTCCCTTACCACATTTATTGACTCACAAATAGGAAAATATCAATGCGGATTCCGTGCTGGAAAATCAACCAAAGATCAGATATTTTATCTCCGTCAGATTTTAGAGAAATCAATGGAATTTAACATTGAAACACATCATCTTTTTAGTGATTTTAAGGCTGCTTTTGATAGTATCAATAGAAATTATCTGTTTGAAACAATGAATTCTTTTGAAATACCTTCAAAACTCATTAAATTGACGATACTTACATTGAAAGATACAAAGTGTATGATTAAGTTTCTGGGGCCTCTGTCAGAAAATCTTGACTCATTCACAGGTGTTCGACAAGGAGATTCTCTCTTGTCTTCTTTTTAATATTGCACTAGAGAGAGAGTTATTCGTGATTCAAACATCATTACCAGTGGTCACATTTTTACTAGATCAGTACAACTACTTGCATACGCTAATGATGTTGATATAATTGCTCGTTCCCTTCCTGCCCTGAAAGAAGCATTTCTTGCCCTTGAGGTGGCTGCAAGACAAATGGGCTTAGTCATAAATGCAGAGAAAACAAAATATATGCTATTTTCAAGAAACAGAGTCCCAGATCCCTATCTTGAAATAAATTCCTATAGATTTGAAACAGTGAGGAGTTTTACTTACTTAGGATCATTGACGACAGAATTACTCCTGAAATGAAAAACCGACTCTATCTTGCGAATAGGGCTGTCTATGGGCTGAGAAGATTTATTAAATCTAGGTTTATTTCTTGAAAAATAAAGATCTTAATCTACAAAATTCTTGTCCTGCCAGTCTTGACCTACGCTTCTGAAGTTTGGACAATGGCAAAACTGGAGAAAAATTGTATCGCAATATTTGAAAGAAAGATTTTGCGGGATATACTTGGTGGTGTAAATGAAAACAATAACTGGAGAAGGAGATTTAACTTTGAACTGAAGAAGATTTATAAAGAACCTGATATTATTAAATACATAAAAATAAATAGAATGAATTGGATTGCCCACGTGATTCGAATAAGTGATGACAACGCAATAAAAAAGATACTGCTTTTTAGACCCACAGGAAAAAGAAAGCAGGAAAGGTCGCGGTTGAGATGGGCTGGCTCAGTGGAGTCTGATTTTCTAGCAATTAATGAAAAGAATTGGACATCACAGATAAATCGGAAGTCGTCATGGAGAAATCTTCAGAGGAAGGCATTGGCTCATATTGGCTGTCTGGCCAACCATAATGATGATTATGTTCATTTTGTCATTGAAACCGAGAATTTTCCCGATCAGTCAGTAATAGGGACGTATATTTCCTCTGCGGAGGGAGGAGTAAGGAATAATTTGGTAGCATTCATCAAGGAAATGTTAACGTGCATTTGAAATCGAGATTTGTTTTAAGAATTCAGGCACACAAAAAATAATTTTTTTAATTGTAAATTTAATTACACGAATATTGAGTAAAAAATTTTATTCTTAGAAGTGGCTGTGTCGCTTCATACATAAATATAAAGGGGTTTGAACTCCGTCTGCCCCCCCCCCACTCTGTTACGAGAATCCTGTGTACAATTAAGTAAATGCCAGGGACATATGCCTGTTAAGAGGGTAAAAAAATCTGGTAAAGGTCAAATATCTTGCAGAAATTCCTGTAGAAATATCTTCTAAAGATACATTTATTGATGCTTAATTTCACTCTCAAGCACACTCCTAGGGTCGAGGCAAAAAAAACTTAAAATTCATAAATAAAAATTTCCTTTTTTTTTGCAATTGTGTATTTTTCGAGAAACCACTTCTATTCGTCTTATATGTTATTACATTTCATTCAAAATGTCACAAAATTAAACACATTAAACTGTGGCGCACGAACTTCATAAAATAGAGATATCTGAAGAAAGATAAGACAAATTGAAATAATCGAAGTGCTTCGTATTTTGAAAAAACAATTGTAACAACAAACATCAGTCTGTGGCGACTTCCAGGGAGAAAAGTTGAGTTAAGGGGTGAAGATCGAGTTCCATGTTATTAAATAAATTCTTCAAAATATAAGCACGTCTATTTTTATTGGGGTTTTTTTTCGATCTTACATACATTTCTCGGGATATCTCCTTTTTATATAATATGTATTCCAGTTATATAATTTGTATTCCAGTTTCTTTCCAATTTAGTCCCTGATTAGAGCGGAAACGCTGTACTTCACTCGGTGCTACTTGATGAAAAGGGTATAACACCTTATTTAGGGTATTTACTCTCACATCAACGTTGCTTTCAACGTTAGATCTTTAATTATTAAAGAAATCAATGTGCCACGACCCTTCGTGGCACATTGATTTCATTGAATGGGGCGAAGTTCTAGCAATGTGATTCACCTTAATCTGTAAGGTACCCCAGTTTCATTCTGTGAGTAAAGCGCCCTCTGTGAACTAAAATATGAAGACTTGTAATGATTTACTTTATCTGGAAAATCCAAATCTTCAATGAAAATAACTATTCTCATTTAGGATTTTGAAGTTGCTTCCCAACAAACCTTTGAAGGGGAAGTTATGGATGGAGTTTATATACTCGAATGCATCTTTTAAAATTTATCTGACATGCTTGCATTTCGATTTTGGTTTTTAATCTTGTACGCATTTCTCGTGATTTTTCTTCCTTAAGAGACATTTTGCATTGTTTTTCCCTGTAAAAACTATGAATGTAATTAAAGTAATGGTAGTTAACTGTTATTTTTGCTAAGTAACAGTCTAGAAACTAAACATAACTTACTTGAATGTCCATTATTTTCATAAATAGCTCTAGTAAGTGGTACGTCGTAGTTAGTAAGCTGCAGTCTCCCTAGATTTTTGTCCTTTACAATATCTACAGTCACAATATCAATCGGCGATTGTTTTCGTCCATAACATGCTGGGAAAGTTTCGCCCCAAAATTTTGGACCTAGGTTTATAAACAAAAACTTTAAGGATAGACATAGCAATTCAGTTCAATATCCAGAGTTGTTTGTACACCGTAAATGATTGAAAAAGGTAGTAAAACGATTTTATTTCTATTTTTCATAAAATAAAATGAAAGCTTTTATTAATTTATGCATTTCATCCACATTGAATGACTTTTTTCCATATACGACATAGAATAGATACGATAATTGAGAGAAAGATATATATATTTGAGAATTGAATCTTTGGTGAAAGACGCGTAAATAAGGCAAACCAATTATATTTATAAATTTAAAAGAAATTTATACGTATATTTGCTATCACTTCTTATTTTTATTAGATTTTTTAATTAAATGGCTCTTTCGATAGTTTACATCCATAGTGGTCTGATCCAACGCCTCCTATAACTAAAAGCCTCCACACGGTTTTTCATAGGTAGTCCGATCAGACCACTGTGAAGGATATCCACTTACTGAACGAGTCATTTAATACAGAATATAGTTAAAATAAGAAAGTGGTAGTAAATATATGACAAAAAATTTATTTTATTTATGAATATTACTGGTTTGCCTTATTCTCTTGTCAACCACTACAGATTCAATTCTCAAATATATAAGATAAATTTCTCTCAATTACTTTTATAAAAGGTTTTGGGTTCATGCGGACAACTGGTTCACTTTTTAAACAGTCTGCGCGGACTACTTATAAAAGAACGTGTGGAGGCTTCTTGATGTAGGAGGTGATGTCTGATCAGACTAACTTATAAGCTTTCTAGATATAAGTTAGTCTGATAATTCTTATAAGCTTAACTAGAGGCTTTCAGTTCTAGGAGGCGTTGCATAGACCTGCAGATGATATAACTTTCGCTATGTGTTAGTGTACAGAAATGCTTTTATCAGACCTTTTAACCCCTTGGGGACGAGTGATTCAGAAAAGCATTCGTACAAAATCAGAATCAAGTTGCAATTAAATAAAAAACGGTAACTTAAATGTAGTCGTTACTAATTTGACAGACTTACTTTGCTTTTATTTTAATTATTGTTAGTTTAATAATATATATAATCGATGTTAATTCAAAGTATAACTAAATAGTTTTATTTTGAACAAAGTAATGGTGAATTAAATAAATCAAACAATTATAACTCCGCCCACAAATAAACTGCTAAAGAAATACTTTGATTACCAGTTTTATCTTTTCACCCTGATTGATACGGTCTTTTGCTGTCACGTATTTGTGACAGTCGGCGCGAAAGGGTTAAGGAATAAATCCTTCACAGTAATGTAGAAGCAGTCTAAGATGAACTTCGCAGATGCTGGAATGTTGCAGTTTAGAGAGGATAGTAAGTTGTTGTTTTTTTTCGATTTCTAATCTCATGTCCTTGAAGTGACCAGTTCTAGATCTACAAAACATTCTTAATATGTTTCGATTAACCTCAAACTCCATAACTTCACCAGTTGATTAGCTGGCATACCAATGATGAGCAAGGACTTGACGTTGATCTAGTTTCTCCTCCAAATGGAGAGATGATAATTTCAAAAAAATTTTAAAATTGACAGCTACATAAAGGACAATTCCACGCCATTGATTTATATATTTAGGAATGTATAAATTGAATTTTTTGGTAAGTAACACAGTTCTGTTACATTGAGTAAAAAACTCATTAAAACTCAAGGAAATGTATTTATTTGTTGGACTAATTGAAAGTTTCCCCTTCCTTATTTTGGTTTGCTATCCACAATTTTATTCTCTCATATTTTCTCACTATCTTTGAAAAATGTGGACGTTCCAGGAAACAACTTTTGCAATGAATAATTTAAGATTTCTTTTCTGATTTACCTTCCCCTGCTAGTTATTATTACATTTTCGGAAGGTTATACTTCGAAAAGATATATTCTGAAATTTTTTTTATATATTAGTAGTTATCGATCATTTAATTTTTAGTTGCTCCCAATTCCGGACACTTCGTGACAATAACTTTACCAATTTTAATCAACACCAATGTTTTGCCAATTTGGCCTGCAGAAAAATTATCATCTCTATTATTAAACAAACACTGGAAGATGTACTCGGAGACAGGCAATAAGACCCGGAACCTGCGCTCCCTACTTCTTGGGTGTCTCAAGCAGTTCATTGTCTTTTAACTTAATGTTTTACTTTATTCCATTTTTAATGTTTTCTTTTTAATGATTTTATGTTATTCATTATTTGTCATTCATCTTTTCTACTGGGGCTTGATTTTACGCCTTCATGGGGGTTTTTTATCACTGTCAACTGTTTACAATTTTTATATTGGTTTTACCTGCTTTTTTCCATTACGATGGTGTTTAACTTCTCCGTAATTTTAACTTTTTTGTGTTCGACTTTATGACATTATGATTTTATTGTGTTTGATTTTATTACTATGGTTTTTTGACTGTTTGTTTGCCCCTTTGGGTACTTCTGTAACTTTTATTTCTATTTATTGTGCATTTTCTGTAGATCAATAATCTGGATTAATTATTGCTTTTATCTACCGTGTTATATAATGTGTGGAAGTGGAGTGGTAGAAATAAGAGTCCTTGGACCTCCTACCCTATACTCAGCTAACACTAAAAGGGTCCTTTGACCTATTTTATATAATTTGATTGTTTGGCCGCATTTTGTATTATTGTCCCTTGTGGCGATCTTTGATTGAAGTTGTAATCATGTATCAATCCAGTTGTATTATCTTGATCCAGTATGTAATCTTGACGTAAACCCTAAACAAATAGGGTGGGTCGTGTCACTATTCAAATTATACATTAGTAGTTAAATGAAAAATTAAGTAACAAGTCGGTTGAAAGCATCTGTCAAGTATTTATATTGTATCGTCTATAAAGTTTGTGCATAACTTTAGATTAATTATTTAACGAAATGTAAGTCATAGAATTACTGTAAATCATCCAACACAATCAACTTAAAACATGTAAACTTACCGTTTTTCAAATGAGCACTATAACTCCATTGCTTACTTTTCTCCAGTGAGCAAGTTGCATTTGTTGATCCTATAAGCAATAAATAAGTTTCAGAATTATTCTGATTTTTAAAATTATCCATGCATGTTGAACTTATAAGTTAGATAAAAATCATCAGCATTTGAATCAGTTATAATAATTTTAAAACTTACTGAATATTGTTTTTGGCACACAAAGGATTTGGATTTTTAAGAGATGTTCACAGAATTCTAGCGTTTTCAAATTACAATATTGTGACACTTTTAAGCTTAAGTAATAGGCAGCTTTTGAAATTTTCAAATTAATATAACGAAGATTGTCCTAATATATTTTTTATAAAATATCCATTTTACCAAGTAAAATATAGCAATTTAGCCCCAGTAGTCTTAAACAGGTTCAGGTGAATGGTACTGTGATAAAATTTAAATTATGCCGATTCGGGTTTCCTAGAAATGTCGGCCCTAATTTCTCCGATTCATATTACTGATATACTTTTTAATTTATTTGCATATATTAAGGGGGAAAGGATTTTACTTTTCGAGATATTTAAGAAGCTTTCCTCGCGCCGATCTTTATCTGTGAATTTCCGATTTCTTGTAGTTAGATGCAAATTATAACTGTTTAATCGATTTCAAAATATGCTTGACACAGCAACAGTTGCGCTGTATAACTCGGATGGATTCCAAGTAAATCCAATTATATTCATAAATCACAGTATGTTTTCACACAGTATTTTATTCTCTCGCTGATCAGGAATACCCTGGCATCCTTGCAACAGGGTTTGTACTGTCCTTAGAAAATTGAAAAAGTAGTGTCAATATTATATGCAGGACTGAAATATTATATTCAGGAATGAAATACAATATTATATGCAGGACTACCTCTAATTAACGGACTCACAGGCTAACCATTAATGTCACAAGCTCCAACTTTTTAAAGTGTTGCTAAGATCTTGGATGCTATTCGTGGGTTAAACATTAATTTCTACAGCTTTCACTTAGATTAATTTTAAATGTGGAGAATTATAAATTCCTCAAATTAACGGATTCGCAGACTAAACCTTAATGCGACAAGCTCCCACTTTCTAAAGAGGAAATGAAAATGTGTTAAGATCTTGGATGCAATTCCTTTGACTAACCATTAGTTTCTTCAACCTTCACTTGTTTCAATCAAAATTGTTGAAGGGATATAAATCCCTCTAATTAACAGATTCACAGGCTAACCATTAATGATACATGCTTCCACTTTCGAAACAGGAAAAAAGAGTGTTCTTAAGATCTTGGATATAATTTCTCCGTTAACCATTAGTTTCTTCAGTTTTAACTTGTTTTAGTTTAAATTTTAAAAGGGTTATAAATACTTCCAATCAACAGATTCACAGATTAACCTTTAATGCCACAAGCTCCAACTTTCTAAAGAGGAAATGAAAAAGCGTTGTTAAGATCTTGGATGCAATTCGTGGGTTAACCATTAGTTTCACCAGCTTCCACATATTTTTTTAATTGCAGAAGACTAATAAAAGACTTTAGTTAACAGTTTCACGGGTTAATTATTAATGCTACAAGCTCCCTCTTTCTAAAGAGAATATGAAAAAGTGTTATTAAGATCTTGGATGCAATTCGTGGGTTAACCATTAGTTTCACCAGCTTCCACTTATTTTTTTAATAGCAAAAGACTTATAAAAGACTTTAGCTAACAGTTTCACGGGTTAATTATTAATGCTACAAGCTCCCACTTTCTAAAGAGGAAATGAAAAAGTGTTATTAAAATCTTGGTTACAATTCATGGGTTAAACATTAGCTCCTCACGCTCCTATTTATTTAAACAAGGTTTAAAGAAGAGTTGATTATGCTTCATAATTATTCATTATAGGGCATACCTTTTGAAGAAAAAAGGCAGTTTATCTTTAAATATTATTTTATATGAAAGTAAAACAGCATCTAGATTATATACTCACGGGCATTTTCTGAAATTTTCTCTGAAGGGTACACAATACCGTTTGAAGAAGAAACAACAAGCAAACAAATTACAAATTTAAACAGCATATTAAATAAGTCATGAATATCCAATGCCATGTACTTTATGAGGAGGAATTTTATTCAATTTTTATAATTGAATTGGTTCTATATCTCATTCCCATCGCGTTTATGTGAAATTCTAAACATCTGTTCTACGAATTTTTTCATTGAGGCATTTTTCTAGAAGGCATGTGCATAACAAATAATAATTCTAATAATAGCATACAATTAAGAGCAAAACAAACAATAGGTTATTATCTTGAATTTTCAACAACAGATTTCTTTATGGATGCTTGGGGCTTTACGTTTTCATCACGACACGAAACACAGTAACACGAAAAAGTTTATTTGTTTCCTTATCTTCAAAGCGCGTGTAGTTTTTGTGTATTTTGTATTAGAATGAAAATAAATAGTTACCATTAAATGTTAATTCAAATATCTGTTTTTAAAACATATAAACATCTTTAGAAAAATTTATTGCCTGCAAGCCCTCAGAATTAATCACAAACCCAAAAAATTTATTAAAATGATCAACATTTGAGATTTTAACGAAATATTTTTGTTAATTTATCAACAAAATATTTATAATTAATTCGGTTTTAAAACATGATTGATTCTCTCCAATCAGGGCTCTTTAAGTAGAGCTACAAAAAATTAGGCAAATAAGTACAGTGAAAACGAAACAATTATGAAGCTCTGCCAATGACTGATCTCCCTCACTGTTCTTCGAAGCTCTGTTGCCGAAGAAAATTAAAAATAAAAAAAAACATAGCTTACACTATGTTTTTTACATAGTGTAAGTTACACAAAAAAACATAGCTTACACTATGTTAAAACATAGTTAAGTGCCTTACACTTAATTCAATGCGATGATTTTAAACCATATATGGGTGATTCTCACGAAACATGACAATTGACTGTCCCTTGCTCCAAGATCCAATACTATAATACTAAAGGGACTTTTTTTAAAAAAAAATAATAATAAGTAGCATTGCTGTTAGCATTTTAAAATGACTTTGCATTAGCATTGACTGTTTTGTATACTTAAAAAATTTAATTGAATATCAAAATGTCATTTTCCTGGCATGTCCCAAACAATATTTCCAATATTAACTAGCTTCAAAACTTCCCATACATTTTTCAAAATCTAAATTTTTTTGTCATATCCTATGTAAGCATTTCGAGAATATACGCAGAGGGAATTGCCTACCAGTCAACTTTTAATCCTCTCAAGAATGATTTTTGCCAGTGTTAGTCAAATGGAATACACATTGCAATTATGGGCAGATATATACAGTGTGTTTTGACCAAGCTCATGCTGACTTCAACATCAGCATTACATATTTATATATGCTTAATTTTTTTTTAAAAATAGTGGTAGATCAAAAAGATAATAAATTAAGTTTATAAATGCAAGGAATATATAGAAAGCGTACATTTTACTACCACTTTAAATATAGAAATAAAACTTTACGCCGAATGCGTAAAAGTTGGCAGGTATGTATTGTCTAAAACTTCGTTTAAAATAATTTTTTCTGTCAATAATTTGTTTGTCCCTTGATAATCTGTCATTTTCCTGGCTACTTTTATTTAGTGATTTATAACCAAAATAGATAGCGCCAGGAATCAATATCTTATGTTAATAGATTGATTAGATACCCTCCTATATGAATATGTCTTGTTGCATGAATAAAGAACCAATTTTCTGGGACAAAATCTAGTTCAAAAAATTTTTCAAGGTGAGTAGGTTTTTATGCTTTCATTTTCCTGGCTTCTTGAAATCATTAATAACAAAAACTACATAGATCTATCTGAGTTATTTTAATAAATACTGTTGTTTTCTGCAGAATCCAAACGTCTTCGGCCAAAATATTAAATTAAAGTAAAGTTATATGCTATAAAATGGCGAATTTGTCATTACCCTGGCTGTCATTTTCCTGGCTTATGAATGCCAGGACATTGAAGTGTTACCAGAAATTCTTTTTAACTGCTAATACTGTAAAGATGGAAAGCAAATATTAACCTAATACCAAATTTATGCATGATTGTAATATGCTTGGAAGTAATCAAAGTTATTTATTTATTTAATGATTGATTATACACAATTTTATTCTGTAGATATCTGCAACAAAAAATTTTTTGTTTCTTTCTACAGTGGATAAAAAGAATTGATTTAAGCAATTTGTGGTCCATCTAACATAAAGGCTTAAATTGAGTTACTTACTACTAACTTAAAATGACTGTTTTTTAAACTTCTAAGGTAGTATGTCATTTTCCTGACATTCAAGATTTGGTGAATTTCCATTTTATTTTTTCTCTCGAGCAAATGTCAATAAACTACACTGCTGTCTATAAGATATTAATAAGTGTAGCTAAGAAAGCATGCAAAAAAAAATTTAGATTATTTTGAAGACTTTAAATTTGAAAAAATTGTTTGGTCCGAATTGTCATGTTTCGTGAGAATCACCCATATATATATATATATATATAACCTTTACAAATTAATGTTTCAATTTCCATGGGTATTAAAAATTAAATATATTAAATTGTATAATTAAATTTTTGTATCATAAGTATTTATCATTATATAATGATAAATACTATATTGTGGTATATGATAATATTATATATGATAATATTATATTATATGATAATATTATTATATATATGATAATATTATATTATTCAAACAAAATAAAGAATAAAATATTTTTCAAATAATATGGAAAAAATGGAATATTATTTTAATAACATCGTTTATAAAACGATAATATCGTTTATGCTCTACAAAAAATATGAATATTTTTCAATTATAAATAAAACAAATAAATTGCTAAAATAAAGTTTTCAGTATATTAAAATAAAATTTAGGGTAAAATTCAAATTTGGCCAGCCGCAGTATATGAAACTGTTATTTTATAAAATCATAATCACAAAATAAAAAATTGTAGTCATTTTATAACGACTGCATGAACGAATAATGATTTGGAACAATTGCGAAACATATCCTAATTCAAAATCTTAAATTACTATTTTTTTTTTCAAATTGCTAATGATTGATAATAAGTAGCACACTTAATAATTT